CTCACAGACGCACACGAAGGGGGAAGGTCGAGAGGGGGTGGTGGGGAGGGACCGCAGAACAACGATCAAACGCGCCCCTGCGGCGTCCGGCCCGCGGCGCTACACCACCGCAACGACCGCCGCCGGCTCGCACTCTTCCCACACGCAGTAATGACCTCCGACAACCTGCGCACGCATCATTTCGCATTTCATGTCGAAACTGTGCGAAACTCGCGGCCATCACACTGCGCGGTGCGCTTTTGCCGCGGCTACACTACCGTAAACTTTACCCCCTCCCCCGACCCCTCTGCTCCAGGAGCACACCGGCACGGCGACACAAGGGGATGCACGCGCGCTCCCAAGTTGGGGGCAAGGCGCGTGGAAATGAGGTGCCGCCAGGCACAACTCGGAGAGCAAAGTCCGATGTAATGTGGCAAAGTCTTGGCCCCTCTGTCTCTTTCTCTCCGCGTCTCTGCTCTTTCACAGCTGCTGTGTGACGCTCAACCGCCACTGTTCCTGCTCGTGCGTGCTGTCCTCACCAAAATATCATCGTTCTATGAACCAAACTAAAACGACGTCACGATAACGACTGGAGGTGCGACATCGTCGTCCATGCACTGATATTTAACTAACAATCATCACAATAATCAGCTGTCGGTTTCAGATAGCCATCGTAGCAAAATCGATAATAATATTCTTGGGACTGACACGTGTGTACATATCAACAAGTTGACACTTGAAGTAAGTACTCGCCGGTCGAGCATTGGGACTGACAGGGTACCGCGGCCCGTAGTCTGACGTATACCGTTCTCATGAATTATGCGAGTAGGCCACACCGGGATCTTGTCCGCCTGCTGCAATCCATATCGATCCCGCGCCAGGTCCCGCACAGGGACGCGCTCGACAGATGCGCCACTGGTCCACGGTCACTCCGCGACACGGGCGCCATGTGTTCATTCTTATCGGGCCGAGCCGCAGCTTTAAACTGAACGGTGCGTCGTTAGCCGCGCGGGTTTATAGTTTGCCGCGGGCAGTTAGTCCATACGCACTAATGTATATTTATGGCCGCAGGACCAGGGGAGGAGAGGGAGTAGGGGTAGGGATGGTTTTGAGGCCGCGTTGAGAGGAAAAGAGGAACGTGGCGCCCTTTGACGACCGAGCGCTGCTAACTCTCTCATATATAGAAAGATCGCACATTTGTATCAAAACTTTACGTTCCGCAAAACCTTTCGCAGGGGCACTTATCTTACCAAGGCTCTACAAGTTTAGGAGAAGGATTTAAAGAAGTTTTTTAAAACCAACATCAACAGAACTCTTAAACGGCGCTTAAACGTTACGACGTAGGATCTAGTGCTCTTTTTCATTACTGTTCAGACGAAGGTTTTCGCGCTGCCTTAGGGCTTTGAGCGGGGTGCATGACAAGCTAATTTACGAGTCATCTCACAACCGCCGTTGGGTATGGGCTTTTGAATGAGGTTTTGCAGCACTTCAAGTGACCAACCAACCAACTGCGATTTTGATTAACTCCGACAATTTATGGCCACCTTAATCGAGGGGCAAAACCAGGCACTTCATCCCCGGGATAACGGGCGAGGCGGAAAAAAAATCTCGCCCGTGGCGAGAGGCAGTGTCATATTTTACTGCGCAATGCACAGTCCCAGTGGGAATGCAATGCCTGCAGCAGCCGACCCTCTCTTCGCTCTCCCTCCCCCTCCCTCTCTCTTCCTCGATCCTGCCCCACACTGCCCCTCCCTCCGCCCGGCTTCCATCGCCTGGGCCATAATATCATGGCGAGGCACAGATGTTGTGATGGACGGCGAGGGCTGGCACGGCCATTCCAGCTGCTTCGGACAATCATCTCTATCGGACCGTGAGGTGCAGGGTGGGTGGAGGGGGACTGGGGACTAGGTGAGGCAGCAGCCCGGCCTCAGGGACTTCTTGGAATGATGTCGACACACGCGCCTTGACCCAACTACGAAACAGGCTACTACTGCTGGTGGACCAGAACGAGAAGCTCATCACGGTTGACACGCATTTGCATCATTGGCGCTGAACAGTGCTGAGCGGGCAGGGACCGCGGGGGCCTCAGGGGCTGTTCATGTGGCTGTCGCCGGCCTGTGCACTGGGCCGTCCCTCGGGGTGGGGTGGGGGCACGTACGCACGTACGGCAGGAGCAGCGTCAGGTATATCGGGCCATACCTCCAGGTCAGCGCCCGGCCGGCTGGGCGGTCGGAGATGGGGAGGAAGGGAACACGAGAGTTCTGAGCGCACTGGTATTTAGAAAAAGACGACATCATGTGCCTACACGTTAAATGTCCGCGCATTGGTATAAAAATTTCCCCTAACTTGTCAGCAAAATAATATCATGTCGTCAGAGTATCCGATGTCAGCCAGATTCGTCACTCACCAGAAGGGAGTATCTTTGCATGTCGCCAGCAGACCGAAGTAAGTGGCGTAGTGATCTGCGGCACTGCGGGGCACCATATATACATAAAACGCTCGACCCACATGGGGCCGGTCGCGGTCGGCCCCGCCCAGTCCGCGGGGAGCCGGAGGCAGCCGTACACACTTTGATGAATTGCAGCCTTGTTTATTCATGGAGCGAGTCGCGCGCAGATGGGTGCGCCAGGGGACTCCACGCCCCATTCGCTCGACTCAAGTTGCTCATCGTATTGGTCTTGAAAACTATGTGTGCTCTGGACGGGGTATACAACTGGTGCCGATCCGCGTCTGACCATGCGTTTTGTCTGTGAATACGAGATAGTAGTGCGAGTGAGGTTGGGCAAGGGCAGGGGGGCTGGCTGTTGGCTTACAACGGCTGAGTGATCAAGGGGCCGGCGGGTTGGGGCTGAGGCTGGCTGGATCGTTGGAGCGCTTTGTCCACTGCGCAGTGGCCAGGGAGCCAGAAATACGTAATTCGAAAACACCACTTACTCCTATAAAACGTCAATTAAAACTACAGGCGTCCAATGCATCGTAGCTTTCGTTGCTGCCTGGCTGATACTGCACCATGAAAAAAGAAAAAAACACATTGAAAGAGGACTATTTCCGCTTCGCAAACCATGACCAGTTCTTCCTCGGTAGCCGATTTTCGTTGTTTCCTGTTTCCTGTGAATTGTTCAGATGACTCTCCTGCGTCCTATATTTGCTCAATCACGGAAAAAACGTTCGCTCTGCCAGCTCGATCGAATGCGAATTTGTTTCGTTCATCTCATCTCATCTGTAGACAGTACAGATAATATTTTGGTTTTGGTGTTAGTCTTAGGAACTAAACCAATCGTTTGGTCAACTAGTGTGGTAGTTTCTTATATTAAAACGCTAGTTAGGACAGCAAAAAAGTTTGCTGTGTCTATTTCAACACAATAGTTTGTTGTAGTAACAATTTTTTTGTTAAAATAGCTTACTCTGTTCTTTTCCGTGAGGGAAGAAATGGCCCTGATTCTTGCAAACGAAAGTGAACATGAACAGTGTGTCACTTTTTATCTTTGTCTGAAAATACTTGTCGCGGATATTATTTCTCGCCTCGGAGATATTTCTAATGAAGTGTCGATTTATTCAAACTCACTTCCTCGGCTACGCGCGCCAGATGTCAGAGGCTGATAACGGGCTACACATGTGAGTGAAAATATCTTCGAAACGAGAAGTAACACTTCCACATATTTATGCCCGGGGATACTGTCGGTTTATAGTCTGTGGTGGGCTGTGGACTGTGGCCGCCGTTTTTCCACGAATAGAGTTGATGCGGTCATGCCATCCATGCCTTCAT